TAAGAATGTCTCATTTGTCTGAGTAAATGCATGGCTCCCTAATCAGCCAGAGGAATGTCAGGCATTTTTAAAAAGAACTTTTGCATAGTTTTACTACAGAGAAAAAGATTCTGAGTGCATCAAGAGCCATTCCGTTCTGAGGAGGCATCTGGAAATAGACTTGATGCGGGTGTATTTGCACATGTAGGTAGACATATATGTATAGAGAGAGAGAGAGAGAGAGAGGTTGCTTTTTGTATAATCCAACCTATGCTATTTATTTTAATTTAAGCAAACCTTATCTTTCCACTCTACCTGTAGAAATCAGTGAAGGATGGGTGGGAACAATACAGGATATTGAATGTCCTCTCCCAGAAATTATATTTGTATGGAAACATATACATACACACACACACACACACACAAGATCATGCACACACAGCTTCTGTAGTTTATCAGACTCTTCTACCTTCCCCTGTAACCACAAAGACTAGGGACCTACTTTTTAAAAGAAAGCCTGTGGCCTGCAGAATGCTACATTTTGCACTCAAATATCTACACTTACATGCACGATACTGTTGTCAAACCCCAAACAGTCCTGAAAACAACCGGGTCCCCTTCATCTTCAGCCCCAGAACTACCTGATCAGCCTGCTTACATTGCTCTGGACGCGGAAATCCGACAGGGAAGCCATGAGCTTGTCCAGCTCCAGAGTCGCTGAGGTGGCAGACGGCTTGGCAGGTGGAGAAGTTGTTGACCTGGGATAAGATCAGGCATGAAAAGGTGGGAAGGGAACATGGAATACGGTTCTCCCAATTGCAGCGGGATACCGAGAGACCCTACGCCTGTTTTTCTTGGAGTAACAGCTGCTCCAGTTCAGGGGCTGGAGATGGGGGTTTCATATCCACATCCTCACTCTGATAACCAGCTGCAAACCCCAAATGGTTTCTGAACTTTGAGAATCTCTCTGATGGAGAAGCTCCATCTTTGCAGCTTTTCCACCTATTTCCTATGGTAGAAAATCCGCCCTTGAAAAATTACCCCTTTTTTATAACTCTCAAAGAGAGAATACCTCTAAAGTGCTGCGTACAGCAATACATTCCACTTCAGCAGTGGGTATTTTATTCTCTCAGTTCTCTAGGCCAGTGTTTCTCAACCTTGGCTACTTTAAGATGGGTGGACTCCAACTCCCAGAATTCCCCAGCCAGCATGCTGGCTGGGGAATTCTG